TGGTGCTGAGGAATTGAACCCAGAGCCTCATGCATGCAAGACAAGCTCTCTACCACTGAGCCACCTTCCCAGCCCATATCCGTTTTTTTGAAGATGTGAAATTACTGAATCTGGAATATATAAAAGTGCTTGTTTATATAGCTTAGATATGTATTTTTTGATAATTTACATTTTAAACGAGATGAAATTGTACGTATTGTGGGATAATGTGATGCTTTTGTATAGTATACATTATATAATATTCAAATCAAGGTAAACTTATCTATCTCCTCAAACCATTGTAACATCTTTATGGAAAATACATTCAAAATCCTTTCTTTTAATTTGATTTTTTTAAAATATATGTAGTATATTATCACCGTCTCTAGTCACCTAACTGCAAGAGCACACCGTGAATTTTCCCATCAGATTCTTCATGGCCATGAATCAACCCTTCCCCATTGCTTCCTCTGCTCCAGGCTTGCAGCCTCTGGTAGCCACAGAGTACTTCGCCAGTCCCTTACATCCCCAGGGCCTGCTCTTGAATGGTGACCACAGTCAATTATCTTTGTTTGCCTCTGTGGCAGGGTCTCACTATGGTAGTAAACTCCGGATCCTCCCCCAAGAGCTAGCATGACAGGGGTGCAGTGCCATGCCTCAGTGTTCACCAGTCACTTCCTAGCATTCCCATTTTAGACATGATCTCTTGACTTCCGTACATGGAAGATACCGACATTGTCTCTCATGCCATCTTTGTGCTTTTGCATTCCACCATGCTGCTTGGCTCCGCAGGTCAGCAATTCGGGCATGCTGTCAATAGCTGGGGGCTCCATGCTAACCCTTCCTCCTGCCCACCCAAGCAGGGGGTGTTGGAGGACCCCCCCCTTCCAAGATGGCTTCCGGGTTACTTGCAGGCAAGGCTCTTGGCCTGCCTCTAGTCTAGGTCTTGTTTTCTCACACTGTTGCAAGCCTCTGCAGTTGGCTCTGCAGCCCGATGCAGACTTGGTGGTATCATCTTCTGGGGTAGCTTTCCAGGAGCAGGCCTGGGAGACCCGCACTCCACTACCGCTGGCAGAGGTTGGGAGGTCTTCTGACCTGACTTTAGAAGCCTCAGCATTTCACTGTGGCCATGGACTGTTGTTTAGACAAAGTGAGGCACAAGGTGAAGGAGAAGGTAAATAGATCTCTGCTGTGGCAGGAATGGCAGCGTGCACAAGATGCACACGGAGTGCAACCTCAGAGAACCCCGCACACACACCTAAACACACACAGTAAGAACAGAATGAGAGCTCTCTCCTGAGCACAGTGCTAGGGTTAAAGAAAGTGATGTCCTGGAGTCAGCATCGGATAATCGTATTAGTCTCGTAGGTAATGAAGTAAGCATAGGATGGGTCTGGAAAGCATTTAAATGTTTTCATTAGTTTATGTTAATTGCATAAAATAATAGGTCCCATCCTGACATTTTCATACCTGCGTAGGATGTACTTTGATCTTGTCCACCTCTCATTTCCCTCCTGTTAAAACATCTGTGAAAACAGGGCTGATTGATGTCTTGGTTTTCTATGGAATATTTTCTCTTTTTTTTTGTTTAGGTACAAAGTATCAAATATAACTGTGATGAAAAAGTTGAAAAAAGAGAGTACACTTTACTCTGAGTCCTACCATCACTATGACTGCTTTTTACTGTATTTTGTGTATCTTTCCTTTAATAGCATATGAGCAATGTGCTATCTTCATGTTTCCATTTTCATAAACTTTCTCACTTATGCTATGAGTTCATAACTGTTAGGTTTTTAAAAAGAGGTGATCGAGTAAGAACAGCACCGCGCACGTGGTATTCAGGTAAGGGGGTAGGTTTATTCAACGTTCTGGCTGGTACCAGGCCATGTTGGCCCTCCACGCAGCTGGGAAAGGCCTGGGAAAGAGAGCTGGAAAAGAGAGAGCTGGGAAAGAGAGAGCTGGGAAAGAGAGCGTCTGGGCCTGGGCGAGGCCTTATCTAGGGTCTGGGAGGAGAAAGGTGTGGCCACATCAAATTCAGATGTGACCTCAGCGGATACAGGTGTGACCTCTTCCAGGTGTACCAGTTGCCTAGGTAACACAGGCACTGGGTGGAGACTTTGCTGCGAGGAGGGTGGGGTCTGCTCACCATCCAGGAGTTGACCTTACAATAACCATCCTTTTTAAGGTTCTTGTAATAGTAAGATGAGAAGATATATTGGAGTTTTCTGGTCCAGTTTTATAAGTGGAGCATGTAGGCATCTCTGTCTATGGATCATTTATTTTATACCATTTAAATATATTTGACATAACTTTACGTTCAATTACAATGGCCACCTGGTGACACTAAAGGAGTTTGATCTAAATTGTCTTATCAATTCCATTTTCCTGCCTGCTCCATTCTAGTCACATCTGTATGTTCTTCAGTTTTCACCTGAGCCAGCTCACTAGTGTTGCTGTTGACTGGTCTGTTCATTATCCATATACTGCCTTTCCTGCCTTTCTCATTCTTTCCTCTCTCCCCATCTTGCTCTGTCTAACTCCTTCCTTCCATGTGCAGTTCTTCTTATTCCAAGGAGTCTTTTATTTTTAGGATGTGAAGTAATATAAAAGCCAATTTCCATGTCTCAGATTACTTAAATACCAATGGGAAAGACAGGTCAGAAACACTCAAACAAAAAAAATTATCCAATATGAAAACTGCAAAAGAAAACCATTCAATATGACAAATGCTGTTCAGAGAAGTAAAATGGGATAATGTATGTTGGAGAATGTCTGATTGTCATGAAAAGAACCAATGCAAAGGCAGCGTCTACCACTTTACTACAATGTTACTATGTGTCACTTTTTAATTAATGAATAATTAGTGCAGTGAAGTTTGGAATTATGTGAGGGCCTATTTCTCATCACATTTTTACACATTAGTTTTGCATTCATTAGTGACTTTCCGATCTTGACGTTCTATTGTGAAGGAAGAGCTCTATCTACCTCCTGCCACATTTCATATTACTAATCACTCCTTATATGGATGCCCTGTGATACTCATAAGGGGCTCATTGGGTTCTTGTGTCAGAACTATAAAGCTGTGGTGGCAACTCTGTGGCAGCGTTAGTATGTGATGGACTTTTTTTTTTTAATTTATTTTTTGAGCTAGGGCTTGAACTCCGAGCCTTACATTCACTTGACTTTTTCACTCCAAGCTGATGTTCTGCCACTTGAACCACACTTCCATTCCCAGCTTTTTGCTCATTAATTGTAGATAAAAATCTCATGGGTTTGTCTGACGGGGCTGGTTTTGAACTGTGATCCTCTGATCTCTGCCTCCTGAGTAGCTAGGTTAACAGGTATGAGCCACTAGCACCCAACTGTAATTTTTGTTTTATTCAATAAAATTTATTGAAATCATAATGAAGTCAGATGATCAAAATGTCTAAGACCTGGCTAACGAAACATTTTCAAGCAGATACTTGTGTTTCAAAATACTCTTGTTATTCTCTGAGCATTTTGTTATCTTGTGGCATGTCAAAATGTTACTGGTATCTCATCTGCAATCCTAGCTATACTCAGAAGACTGAGATCTGAGAGTCAAAGTCCAAAGTTAGCTTTGACAGAAAAGTTTGAGAGACACCAGCTCCAAATTAACTTAGCAAGAAGCTATGCAGAAGACGTGGCTCAGGTTGTAGAGAACTAGCTGAGCAAGCGAGCTGAGGATGCAGGAGGCCCTGTGTTCAAGCCCTGGTACAAGAAAAAAACCACCAAGAACCAACATTTACTTAAGTTAAATATTTGCAAAACAATGACAGAAAAGCAGAATGTAATCAGGAAGAATAGGGAAGGGGGTGTGTGCAGAAGTTTGAAGGTAGAGCTAGGTTGTCTGCCTGGACTGACTCTCTAGGTGCTGAAGACTAGACAATCGGCCAGGACAGCCACCCAAGGATGTCAGTTGCAGGAAAAATGGCCTTGTACTGAACCAAGCCTATGGAGGTTACCATGTAATCCAGGTGGACTCTTCCTCAACTCAGTAAGAACAGAGATTGGTGTTTGTCCTTCTGTCCGAAGGGTACCATAAGCTAGTCTCTTGCTAACAGCTAATATTTACTGACTCTTAGTGCCAGGCACTAAGCTAAGAACTTTCCATGAGTCATCTTCCGTTATCTCTGCAATGACTCCTGCTCATGATGTGATTGAATGCTATTGTAATCCTATAGATGGAGAGGCTAAGGCTTATAACTCTAAGTTCACATTTTCCAGGATGACACAGAGGTAGGACTCATGTTGTCTAATTCCAAAGTTGGACCTCTCCCCACCAAGATCCCATAGAATATATAGAAGGGAATTATTTCAAATTCAAGTTGGAATTCAAGTTTTCATCGCATCTTACTTTGTGTATAATGAGGGTAGCTCGATCAGATTTACTCTGAAACTCTGCTTATGTGTCTCCCATGTTTTCTCTATTACTCAGAGTGTCAGAACCTGTTAGGTTCCATCCTGATTGATATCTTTGATTTAGCTCTTGGTGGCTTTGGAGCCATTGTCTCTCTTATAGGTGACTTTGCAAGCATTGTTTTGCATATATCATTTTTTAACATTAGTTTCAGGAAATGCCTTTTCTTTGGGGGCTATCACATTTCACACCCACATTCCTGCCATCATGTTCTATGCTGAAAAGTGTCCTAACTATCGAGTGAAGTCCTATCTATCTCTGGAGGTAGGAGTTCTGTTTCTAATGTGACTCCCACCTTAGGAAGCAGTTTATCCTTGATATCTGTGACCAAATCCAAGTACTACCAGCCTACCTCCTGCACACATGAGCAGGAAATGTGATTGTCCCTGAAAGGAAGTGGTTAAAAACATAAGGGAGTGAAAAGAGAGAAAGAATGAAATTTTTGAGTGGAGATTTTTGAAAAACCACTTTTTGAAAGCAATACAAGTAATCAGCAGACTAAAATGATTACATCTCCTGCATATATGATTTGCTATTACATATATTTATTTACCATTGTGAGTTTTCTTTTTCTCAACAGGATGTGAAGTGCTGACAAAACTTGACCTGACCGTGAATTTCATTGGGGATCTGAGCAGCATTAAAACCCTGAAGCACAACATCCACCTGAAGGAGCTCTTCCTCATGGGGAATCCCTGTGCGGACTTTGACGGCTACAGACAGTTTGTGGTGGCAACCCTACAGCAGCTGAAGGTATCACTGACATAAAACACAGAAAGGCAAAGTGAGTGACCATAATAGTCACAGCTCTGTCATGGGCTGTGTTCCTTCAGAGAGTAGAAGATTCACAAGAGTTGAAGTTCATTCCTTGACATCTAGATCTTAATATTACTCAATAGCTTATTTAAGAAATAAGTTACAAACATCCAAACATGTAGAACTGAATCTCTTCCTTCCTTTCTCCCTTCTTTCCTTCCTTCCTTCCTTCCTTTTTTCTTTCTTTCTATTTTTTTTGTCGGTCATGGGGCTTGAACTCTGGGCCTGGGTGCTGTCCCTCAGTTCTTCAGTTCAAGGCTAGCACTCTACCACTTGAGCCACAGAACCATTTCTGGTTTTCTGAATGGTTTATCGGAGATAAGAGTCTCACACCTTTCTTGTTCGGGCTGGCTTTGAACTACGATCCTCAGATCTCAGCCTCCTGTGTAGCTAAGATTACAGTCATGAGCCACTGGCACCAGGCTGAATCTCTTTCTTAATTAGTTCAAATTTTGAAGCACCTTCTTCATAACTTATTAATCATTATTAGTTGCAAAGCCTAGAGTTTTAGACATAGCTACACCTAATTCCTGTATTGCATAATCTTAAACTACTTCTGTAATTTTTTTATTACATTTTCTTAACTCACTGTTTGATGTTAGTGGTTCTCAAGAGTTTGGCGTGCAGGTGAATGCTTAGAGAGATTTTGAAAACCATGTGTCATCCCAAAGGTTTCTGAGTCAGGTGTGACTTGGGGCATTTCTCACCGACAGTTGGGTGATATGGATGATGCTGGTCTAGAAAGCTCCCCTGAGAACCACTACTCTGTACGGCTTCCAGGGAGAACCAGGCAGCCTGTCTTTCCTTCTCTCCCACCAACATAGCATAGACTTCCCTATCACATAAGATCGTTAAGGTTTCCCTCACACTTCAAGCAAGTGATGAGCTCCGTAGCAGCAGGCCCGGCTAGGCGTCCTGTGAGCTGACTCTCCCTGGAGATGTGTCACTTGTCATGTAGGCTCAGTCTCTAAGCCCGAGAGACCGCCTCCCAACACTCTTAGGTGCTAGTCACTAGATCCACGCGGCTTTTGCCTTTACTTCTTTTCTGATTTTATTGTTGTTTATTTAATTATGTTTAAGTAGTTTTACAAAAATCTTTCGCTTCAACAGGTCAGTTTATACATGCAAAGGGTCTTGGTCAATGTTGCTGCTCCATCATTCTCTCTCATCTTTTACTTGTACTTCTGACCACCCAACGGTACATGAGGATTCTTACAACCCCTTTCTCAGGTTCCATTAATTTCCTGGAGTAGCTCGCAGAACTCTGGGAACCACTCGTTTTTGCCAGTGTATTATAGTGGATATTTCAAAGGATTTGAAGAGATGCATGGCGGGCGGGAGGATGGGGGGCGGGCTTCCTCATTCTCTCTTGGTGTGCCAGCCTAGAGGAACCTTTTCCTACAGGGTTTTCAGTGGCACAGAAGTTCTTGGAACTGTCCTTTTCTGAAGCCCTCATAGTATAGGATTTATAGCATAACATGGTGAAGAAACCCAGAAAGGCCTATTGAGACTCTCCAACCTTCCTTTCTTCCCGGGTGTAGGGAAGGAAGGAGGGCCCGCTCCTCTTGAATACAGACGGGAACCTACTGACAGACAAGATAGGCCAGAGAATGTCCCCGTGGCCATCTATTCTAGGCAGTGAGAGCTTAGAGTTTCTGTGACCTGCCTTGTGGTAGGAGCATCCATGGTAGAAAACGCAAAAGCTACAGTATCACAATAATCCCACCGTATCCCCCAAATGTATGGAACTTCAGAAGCATACAGCATACAGCAGAGAAAACTTAAGAATTGGGGTTAGTTTTCATAAAATGTAGTTTTGTCCTTCTGTAAAGAAATGCTTGATTTCTTTGCAATTTATGATAGGCATCTCCCCTGTCAGTGTTCCCATGCTAAGGTTGCAGGTATGAAAGTATCATCTAGAAGCAAGGTCAGGTGTATACACAGACAGTGTAGAGAGTCTCTATGATGCCCCAAGTGTATGTATAGAGCCAGTGAGATGTGTTCTGAGGCAAAGCTGTCACTGGGACTCGCAGAATTTACACCCTTGTTTGAGCTGATACATGCTGCAAGCAGAACAGGTCAGGTTTGACTCTACATGTATCTGACCTAAGCCTCTGTTCTCCACATTAATGGGAACATTGGATCAAATCTTTTAGAAAGACTGCATCCAATTAGCTGCTAGAGGGGGCGTCAGTGGCTTTCTGTAAAAAGTACTTCAAATAGATTGATCCACTTTACAATCTTAATTACAATTGTGATCTAGCTACAGAATTGTGTTAAAAGATGTACTCACTCCCTAGGACTGTTTCAACAAAGCAGAAACTTAAAGACATTGATTCCCTCATAATTCTGAGGACTGAGAGTATAGCTCAAGTGGCAGAGCATGTTCCTAGTATGTGTGAGGCCCTGAGTTCAAACCCCAGTACCATGAGGGAGAAGGGGAAGAAGGACATGATTTTTTTTCATAGTTGTAGAGGCCAGAGGTTCAAGGTCAATGTGTTTGCAGGGCGTGTTACTCTTAGGGCTGTGCAGACCATTTGACTCGCCCTCTCTCCTTGGCTTGCAGATATGTAGCACTGATCTCCACCTTTGCCATTACCTATCATTCTCTTGGGTCGCCATCTTTTTCCTTGATGTTCTTTTGGTTCTAGCACTAATTATGTGTTAGGGTCTCACTGTAATATGTTTTAATGGATCACACAAGTTTCCAAGTAAAGCCAAATGTGGAGGTAATGGAGGTTAGGACTTCAACTGCTGACAAATTTCCAAAGCCAGAAGTGTGTTGGGTTTACGCTTCCCCCTAACTCTATTCTGACACTTCTCACTTCTTTTATATCTAGGACCTCTGTGATCCTAATAAGGATCGTCCTGGTCATTCACCATCCTCAATTAGACCTGCAAAGTCCTTTTGGCCACCTGAGATCATATTCGCTGGGAGGGGAATATGAATATTATTGGGAAATCTGCCTACCACATTCTTCTAAATACTTTACCTCTATATAGAATAATGATAGACAAACAAATAGGCCTCTTTAAATGGGTGGCTTTAACATTTCAGATTTCCGTTGATGTTTTCTATTTTAACTTGGAAAAAGTATCCTATAAGTACAAAAGGCAAACATGGATTATACTGATTAATAGCTGTACACTGCGTGTTGTCAAGGTTGGAAACAGGCTCTTCAGAATCCAACGTTCTTTTCCTGGGGACCATTTGGAAAACGTTGTATTTTGAAGCTAGTAGTTTATTTCAGTTTCAACATTCAGCATCATGAGCAGTTATAAAACCAATACAACCTGTTTTGAGAGTTTTGATATAAGCCTTACTTATTATTGTCAGTAAAGGTACTTTGTAAACTATTTTAATTGTGTTAAATAAGCATTGCCCAATGTTTCTGCTACATCCCATTAATTGCTTTCTTTCTAATTATCTTATTACTGTGATTCAGTATTTCTAAGTTGAAAATATTCCAATCCATGCCAACTTGGGACTGACTTGCACTACTATGCTTGGATGATGATATTATGTGTATTGTTTTGTTTTTTCAATTTAAGTGGTTGGATGGTAAAGAAATAGAGCGCTCAGAAAGGATTCTAGCATTGCAGGACTATCCAGCAGTTGAACAACAAATCAGAGAGCAGGAAAGAGCTTACATCCTCAAAAGAGCCAAAGAGAAAAAAGAGGCACAGAGGAAACTTGAGGAAGAGCCTGAAAAGGAAGACAACAAACAGAGATGTGGTCCTGGCTTTGATGGGCGTTGGTACACAGACATCCCTCCTGCTCTGTATGTAAAGCAGTTTACCTTCTAGTCAGCTTTTACTACAACAGCAAGCTGTGTATTCTTCCCATGGTGTTGTCGCTTATATTCTGGGATATCACATATTCTGGGGTATCTATTTGAAGAATAAGATATGGTGAAAGTGTGTGTGTGTGTGTGTGCGTGTGTGTGTGTGTGTGTGTGTGTGTGTGTGTGTGTGTGTGTTGCATGTGCAGGTGTATGCAGGCAAAAGAGTTCTTTTTGTTGTCAACATTATAAAGAGGCTTTATTTCCTTAGGAAAAATGCTTCTTATGTGAGCTCTTACGTGTAATCCTAGCTAGTCAGAAGATGGACACAGGAGAAATACAGTTCCAGGACAGTCAGAGCAAAATGTTTAAGAGACCTCTATCTTAACTGAAAAAGCTGGACTCTCGCTGCCATTCCAAGTGCAGTGGGGAAGAGTTAGTAGAAGCATCATGGTCTAGACCTTCCTGAGCAAAAAGGAAGAGTGTAGCTCAAAAATAAGTGAGCAAAAAGGACTGGAGGTATAGTTCAAGCAGTAGAGCATCTGCCTAGCACATGCAAAGCAATGAGTTCAAGCCCGGTACCACGCCCCCCTCCATCAAACGAGAGAAGAAAAACTTCAAACTAACAGCTTAATTTGCATCTAAAATTACCTCAGATAAATCTCCATAAAGCATGCACAAGAAAGATACATTAACAGGTGCACTTTGATTTATGAAGTAGGAATATTTTAGAAAAATGAAATGAAATCACATGATTATAAAGCAAATAATTCTGATTGCATCACAAAACATCTCTTTTGCAAGTTATATAGCAAATACATTTTTAATGTGATTAATAGCCCTCTAATTGGTCTTTTGTATGAGTCTGAATTTTTTATACTGTTTATTGTAAGTGAATCACAACTATAGTCAGTTGAGTTTATTCCATATAATGAAAGCTTTAAATATTTAGATAACAAGCTTTTCAAAAAGAGATAAAATAATTACAAAACACTTCAGATATGCATAAATGTTTAAAAATAAGTAGGCAATTATTTTACCACCCATATATAATAAATAATAACTATTTGTATGTTTGTTTGGGACCTTTGAAAAATAAGAAATAACATATCATTAAGAGAATAGAAGCTTTCTGAATACTCCTTAATCCTGTTCCTTCCTTTATACCCGATGGCGTCTGTCCTTCTGAAGCCGCTGTAGAGCTGTCATATGGTCCACACAGTTGATTTTTAACTTCTCTAGAATGGGAGTGGGTCGCATCCAGCCTCCGGCACACATAAGGGCTGAGAAATCGTTTGTACGTCATGGGACAGACACATATATTTTCATATGCTTCTCAGCAGCACCTGTGACTGTCTACTTGCATTGATAATTTTGTATGTCCCTCTAATACTATTGTAAATATCCAACTGGAGCTTGGCAGAAAAAGGTTTCCCAGTCCTCCTACAAGTTACTGTAAATCTTGGTGTTTGATGGAAGATGGTCTCATTTTTTTCAGTCATCTTAGTTATCCATTGATCCTACTCTTTTATATGGAAGTCAAGGCTGCTCCTCTTCTAAGAAGAAACAGCACAGAGATTCATAGGCTGCCAAAAAGGGAGATGAGAATGTTAACTTAAACAGAAGGAGGTGGATCTTGCTTCCATTTCGGAGAAAAGAGCAGCCTGGAATGGAAGCATCAGAAAAGAGGATGCTACTAGGAATAGGTTGCACTGTACCCATTTCACATGAATGACCTGTGCCTGTATCCTAGGCCAAGGCTACATTGTAGTAGAAGGAGCCAGGCTTGAGCAAGTGTAAGAGGGGCCCTGCCTACGAGGGTGGCAGCAATGAGACTGTGGGGTGGAAATCAATGCTAGAAGCTATGAGTTGTCACAAAAGGACCCGTCAGGTGCTGACCACAGCAACACAAAGCTATGTGATTTAAGCTTTCTTGCAGTGTCTTTACAAATGGCACAGGGGTTCACAAGAAGAGAAGCCAGCTCTGGCACTGGCTCCAGAGGTGGTAGCAGCAGTGAAACTGTAGCAGCAGTGGCCATCTCCTTTTCTTCTTCCCACTGGCCAGGAGCCAGGAGAAGGTGAAGAGGCTCAAGAGGGTGGGGCACTGAGAGAGAGGAAGAGATGCACCCTGAGGGAAGGAACGAGCCACTCACCACCCAGGCTTGAACTGAGCCAGAAGAGACCCTTGGGAAAGGAGGGAAGGGCTTATTCTTAGTCAGAAATCTAAAACTTTATTTGAGCTGGAGCCTTTTTTGGGGGGGGAGGGGGGTGTTGGTCATGGGGCTTGAACTCTAGGCCTGGGAGCAGTCCCTGAGCTCTTCAGCTCAAGTCTAGTGCTCTACCACTCGAGCCATAGCACCACTTTCGGCCTTTTCTGCTTATCTGGTGCTGAGGGATCGAACCCAGGGTCTCATGCATGTGAGGCAAGCACTCTTCCTCTGAGCCACCTTCCCAGCCTTTTTAAATCCTGGAAGTGGGGTTTTGTCTGTTGATGGAAGTGCCTATAGTGGGATATCGGATCGTGAATGGGAAGAAGAAGGTTCTAAGAGAGTGCTTTTGAAGAGGATTTTTGTTTATTTCCTAATTAATGCACTCTACTTCATCGGCCAGATGAGGTGGCGTGCTTGCTAAGGTTGGGTGGTCTCCCTGCCTGCTCATTATGTCAGAACTTCCTGCAAAATACTGTAAGGATTCCCAGGATATTAAAAAGTATTCTATGGAAGTCCAGGAATCTGAACTTTTATAAAGTTCCCCAGGTAATTCACACCAGCTAGGCTTAGGCAGCCTTAATTCAGATACTGCCGTGTTTTGACAATAGAGGATGAGAGCCTGCCCCAACTTTGCTCAGGTAGACTCTCAGAGACATTTTATCAGTCAAAACTAAGTAATCATGATATTGTGAAGCAAAGGAGAAATATTAAAGATAAAACCCATGAACCCATTCTTGGGCTTATATGTTCTTTGTCTGTTGGTTTTGCCAGCCCATCTGCTACTGAGAGCCAAGGTCATGTCCAAGCACCCAAAATGCAAGAAGAACAAAACAATGCACAGAAATCAGACGAAACTGAAGACGACCTGGCATTCTGGAACAAACCATCCATGTTTACGCCTGAATCTCGATTGGAAACTCTTAGACATGTAGAAAAGCAACGGAAAGCTCAAGAGAAATCAAGGTATCCCATTTTCCTACTGAAAGAAGGCAGCACTCTCTTGTAGGCTATATTTTTTATTTTTTAAATGTTTTATTTATTTGTTTATTTATTATTAGGACTTGAGCTCGGGGCCCTGAGCTTTCATTTGTATTTTCCACTCAAGGCCAGCATGCTACTACTTGAGCTACACCTGTACTCCATGGTTTTTGCTAGTAAATTGGAAATAAAAATCTATGGGCTTTCCTGCTTGAGCTGTCTTTGACCTACAATCCTTGGATCACAGCCTTCTGAGTAGTTTGGATTGTAGAAGTGAGCCAACAGCACCTGCCATGGGCTATATTTTCATAATTGTGCATCTTTTGACATAATATCTGTGTGTCACCATTGTTAAACATCACACAAGTATAGCACTTTTCATTAATATCAAAGTATTATCTATAAAGATTTGTTTGTGTGATTAGTTTTTTAACCATTTTATATTGTTTAGCAATCATTGTTCTGGGTTACAAATACCACTTGTCATGGGACAATGAAAAAGATCATTTTATGGGGTGAAAAGCTCCATCTGAATCTGTTCTATTCATTTTCAAACTGAAGAATTAAAGTTAGTTTCATTAAGCACTTTATTTTTTATCATAGAATTATCTTGGATATTTACTAGTATAATGTCAGTTTTGAAGTATTTACATATAATTTGATGAGTTGTTAGAAGCTAGGATATTATTATTTTCTGGGTGTTTCTTTTTTTTTTGGGGTCCAGTCATGGGCCTGAACTCTGGGCCTGGGCTCTGTCCCTCAGCTCTTCAGCTCAAGGCTAGCACTCTACCACTTGAGCCACAGCGCCACTTCTGGCTTTTTTCTTTTTGCTTATGTGGTGCTGAGGAATCGAACCCAGGGCCTCA